CAGGCAGGCAGGCAGGCAGGCAGGCAGGCAGGCAGGCAGGCAGGCAGGCAGGTAGGCAGGCAGGCTGGCAGGCTGGCAGGCTGGCAGGCTGGCAGGCAGGCAGGCAGGCAGGCAGGCAGGTAGGCAGGCAGGCAGGTAGGCAGGCAGGCTGGCAGGCTGGCAGGCAGGCAGGCAGGCAGGCAGGCAGGCAGGCAGGTAGGCAGGCTGGCAGGCTGGCAGGTAGGCAGGCAGGCAGGCAGGCAGGCAGGCAGGCAGGCAGGCAGGTAGGTAGGCAGGTAGGCAGACACACACACACACACACACACACACACACACACACACACACACACACACACACACACACACACACACACACACGCACGCACGCACGCACGCACACACGCACACAGACCCGAGGCAGAGAGCGACTGAAGCATAACTTGTGAATCATCTTTCAGCCTAATGGTATTCTGTCATCGGGAGGAAAGCTATCCTTTAAGCAACTTACAAAGTCGTATTATTTTCCTTTCAACTTTTCATTCTCTCTCCAGATTAAATTAAAACTTCAGGCAAACTCTGGATCTTTCTCCCCCTCCCCCTCCCCCCCTCTCTGTCCCATTCGTCCGCAATCATGGCTTTGAATCAAAACTCATTTTTGGTTTATCCTCTTCCCTTATTCTCTTTCCCTTTCTCCTCCTTTCTCTTCTCTCCTCTTTTTCCTCCTCTCCTCTCTCTTCTTTTTCTCTATTCCTCTTTTCCCTTTCGTTCCTTTTCGTTTCATTTAAAAAAGAATCATCTCTCTCTTCTTTACAGCTTCCTTCTCCCGCGCGTTTACCCTTTCCTTCCCTCTGCCTCATTGTCTCTTCTATTTCTCTTCCCTCTTCTTCCCTCCTCCTTCCATCCTTGTCCTATCCCTTCTCTTTCTCCTTCCCTCTTTCTCTCTCTCCCTTCAATTCTTATCCCTTTTCCTCTTTCTTCTTCCCTCCTTTTCTGTTTCCCTTCAATCCTTCTTCTTCTTCTCCTTTCTTCTGTCTCCTTCATCTCTCCATCCCTCTCCCTTCCTCCCCTCTCCCTTATCCTTCCATCCTTCTCCTTCCTCGCCTTCCCCCCCTCCCCCCCTCCGGTCAGCTGCCCGAGCGCCTCCCCCCCCCCAAGGCCAAACTTATGAATGCCTTGTCTTGACTTTGTCTTGAGTTGTCTTGCGTCTTCTTGATCGCAGCCCGAAAGCGTCTCTTTATTTATTTATTTTTCATGATTATTATTTTTTTCTTTTACTTTTTTTTTTTATCTTTTTGTCTTTTAATGCGTCAGATTTCTTGCTCTCTGTCGGACTCAAAATGCTGCTGCTTTCTGTGCTCGGTCGGCGTGAGGGGCTGTGTCGGGTTAAAGAAAAAAAACCCAGTCATGTGTGTACGTGAATAAGCGCACACACGTACACACGTATCCCCTACGCTACTCACGCTGACCTTCCCCTCAAGACACACGCTCGCCCCTCCACTAACCCCCAACATAAACACTCACATTCTACCCCCCCCACACACACACTCGACCCCAGTTGCACACACTCACCCCCCACACTCACTTCCCCATCCCACCCCCACCCCATCCCTCCACTCACTTCTACCCCCCCATCCCCATCCCTCACTCCCTCCTACTCACCGTTCACCCCCCCCGTCCCCCCCTCCCCCCTTCGCTGAGTCCCTGACCTTGCTCTCCGTCGCGGGACCGGACTTATTTACCCTAAGTATCGGATTATCGGATAACGAACAGCTGCTTCGGCCGCTCGCTGCCAAGCCGCTCCCGATTTGCATAAAAGATACTTTCATATCATCTCCTTATGGCGCCTCTTGCAGCTCTCGCGTCATTTGCATATTTTTTCTCTCTCGCTCGCTCTTTGTGTCTGTTCCTCTTATTTTCCGTTTTTTTTCTTCTTTTTTTTAGTTTGACCTGTTTTATTTTTTATTTTTCATTCTTATTTTTTTGTGTGTTTTTTTGTATTTTCTTGGTTTGTTTATTTTGCCTTCTTTATCGAGTGATTTATTCGGTTCTATATTTCTTTTTCCTTTTTTTTTTTTAGTTTAATCCTTTTTATTATTTACATTTCATTTCTTTTCCCTTTTTCGTTTTGTCCCTTTTCGTTATTGTTCTCTTATTTTGCAACAGATTATACTTACATGTAGAGTGTACTTATATGTTTATAAATATCTATATATATATCTATCTATCTATATCTATCTATCTATCTATATCTATCTATCTATCTATCGCACATCCCACGAATTACCAATTATGACAATTAATATCCCCCTCCCCCTCCCCCCCAGGAGCTGTGCACGCGCGTGACTTCCGGCGGCCCGAGTGCATGGCGATCGGCGACGGGTCCAGCTCGGTCACGCTGCAGCTGCCCCTCATCACGGACAAGGACGACCCTTCGTACTGCGGCGTCCGTGTCAACCAGGTACGTGATCAGAAGCGAAAAAGGAAGATGGATTGAGGGATAGAATTATGGGGGGGGGGGGTG